GAACCCAGGAATTTGAGGTTGCTGTGAACTATACTGGGGCAACAGAGTGAGATTCTGTCTCAAAAAAAAAAAAAAAAAGAAAGAAAGAAATTTATACTTTACTGTTCAGAGATATGCCAAATTGGTGGCTTAGTAGGACTTGGGAGGAGTTGCCACGCCTACTTAGAAAGCTAACTTGTGAATTTCAGAAGCAAGAGTGCAGAGAAACAAGAAGAGACTGCTTACAGCATCGCAGAGAGTGGTGTGGGTTCCAGGACAGAGAGGACCGATTCCTACAAGTCTCTTAGGCAACCTAAAAACAAGAAATTTAGCCTATCCCAGGTTAAACACTATCAATTCATTATTGAAATAAAAATAAGAAAAATCTCCTTAACTAGGACATTTTGCTAAAAGGATCTCTGTATCTTTCAGGTATTTCGTCACTATAAGTTTATATATTTCTCTAAATTGGACAAGTTAAAAATGTCTACAAAGAAGTTAAATTACACATTGGTTATAAAAATCTATTTGTTGTCACTGGCACTGGGCTAGGTTATATCCTTAGTCCCCACACTGACCCTAGGAGGTGGGTGTTATTATTCCTCTTTGCAGAGAACACTCTGAGAGTCAGAGACGCAGACTGTGAATCAAAGGCCACACCACAAGGATAAGCTCTAACTCAGGTCCATATATCCAACTTCAGAGGAGGTTTGATAGAACCAACTAAAGCTGAGTATTGCAAACATACTTCTTTCTTAGAAAGTCAGTCTTGGATGAGAGTCTCTTATAACTTTTTCTGTTTTAAATTTCCCTGTGATCACCCTATACATGTATGTGTACACACGTGGTAATTTTATAGACACACTATAAATGGCAATCAGTCTTCTCCAGCTGTTAGACTCCAGAGTAAATAATGTACTATGTAAGCTATGATTTTGCTAAAGGGGAAGATCTACACTTCAAGATGGTTAAAATTAAGATGCACATTTTTATGTTTAAATTTGCTGGTCTTCAGGCTGCCATCATTAGAAGGATAGATACCTAGTATTGGAATTGTGAGATTAAGTGGAAGATCTATTTTAGCTCTTTGAGGATTCTCTATACTTCTTTCCAGAAAGGCTATAGGGACATTTGCATGTGAATGTTTATAGCAGCTCAATTCACAATTGCAAAGATGTGGAAACAACCCACATCAGCCCATGGATGGATAAACTGTGGTATGTGTATACCACAGAATACACTTCAGCCATAAAGAAAAATGGAAACTTCACATCTTTTGTATTTACCTGGAAGGATTTGGAGAACATCTTTTTATGTAAAATATCACAAGACAGGGAAAGCAACCATCTAGGATACTCAATGTTAATATAAAACTAGTAGATGAACAACTACAGCCCCACAGGAGAGAAAAACACATTTCAATTCAAGAAGGGGTTTGGGGGAGGAGGTGTGGTAATCTCTCATCTATCGGGCACAGTGTAAGGTGTATATGGCACACCTCTTGGGTGAAGGGTTCAACTGCAACTTGGACTTTACCTAACAAATCCAAACAATGTTCCTAATTGTATATGCCCTATATTAATCTGAAATTTAAAAAATTGTTTTTAAATTTTTTTTCTTTCTTTTTTTTTTTTTGTTGAGACAGAGTCCCACCCTATATCCTGAGCAAAGTGCAATGGTGTCATAGCTCACTGCAATCTCCAGAAGCCACTGGGATTACAGGTGCTCCTTGCAGTGCCCAGCTGGTTTTTTGTTTGTTTGTTTGTTTATGAGTTGAGGGGGTCTCGCTCTTGCTCAAGTAAGTCCTGAACTCATGAGCTCAAGCAATTCTTCCTCCTCAGCCTCCGACAGTGAGCTGCCATACCTAGCTAAATTTCTAAATTTCTTATTCTTGAATTGAGTATAGCTGGGTCCTTCAAGTAGGGCTGTAAATGTTGACGGCATTATGAAGATTTAACTGTAAACAGCAAAATGACTCTGACAGCAAAACCATACTTAAAGCAATAATTTTACCTCAAAGTTATTCTGACATGGTGGTGTGGGGTTATGGGTTATATATAAAGAGAGAGAGAAAGGGAACAAAGTCATGTCCTCAAGGCTATACCATCTAAGCAAGCAGAAAGAAAGGAGGATTGAGGTTGAATGATGAGGGATGGTGTTCTCATTTGTATGCGTGCTTCTTGTCTTGCAATATTTCTGCACATAAAACATACTCTAAAGTTGAGCACAAAGGGTATGTTCTGTAGTGGCCAGGCCCATTCCCAGACCTAGGTCTTCCCATCCCTTCTGTGGCAAGCTCCAGAGAGTCAGCCAACGTCGTGGCATGTTTAAAACCAATGCCACCACCCACTCCATGCCTGGGAATTCTTCTGCTCAAGATCAGCACCACTGTAAGATTATGTAGCTTCCTCAGAGGCTTCCATTGTCCTGCTTAAGAGGCAAGAGAATAAGCAAAATAGGGAAGTGGCCGCATTTTCAAAATCCTAGAAAGTTCAGTGAGCCCTTACTACTGATATGTCCGGTTTTTGGCTGAGGCTGGGTTTGAACCCGCCACTTCCGGCATATGGGGCCAGCGACCTACTCCTTTGAGCCACAGGTACCATCCCAGATGCTTCTTTTCTAGCCTAAGGACTGACAGGGTCAGTCTGACGCTCCTCTGTCTGCCCACTGTCACCATCTCCCCAGATCCCCGTGACTCCTCCCAGTGCATGTACCAGGAGTTGAGTCTTCCCTGGCCACTAGTAAGGCGGACACTGTCTGTTTTAATGATGCCATTCTGACAGCCTGGTGGAAGCCCAGGCTGAGTGAGTAAGAAGTCTCAGTTCTGAAGTCCACTCAAAAGCAAACACACCAACTCCTGCATTTAAGCTCAGGCAACACAAAGCAAGCATACTGTTCATTAATTTCAACTGCTGACCCACTTGAACAAATCTCTGTGTGTATAATATGGAGACTTGAGCTCTTAGCAAAAACCTACTGTGAATCTGCAGGAAACAGAGACAAAGCTTTTAGAAAAAGAAGGCCTGTCACTTTCAGTGTTGTTACCAGGTAGGGGGCCGCACTGAGATGGGAACGGAGCACTCTGACCCCTTTACGATGTCAACTTTTAGCATCATTCAAACTTTCTTTCCTGTGTTCAGTGCTTTTATGAGCATTATGACCTGACTTTCATCACCAATTTTGTTCTAACCTCCCTGCTTTCTTCAGGCAATGCTTCCTAAGGGAACTTGAATCCTCATCTGTAACAAAACAAGGAGAAAATAAGGGGTTGTCGAGCTTGTGAAATAAAACTGCACAATCTGGAAAGTCTGAACTCATGGTAAATGTAACAAATCAATTATTCCATTAGTCCAGTTTGTGAGAACTTAATCAGAAATGGATGTAAACATGCTAACTCTAAACATAATTGTCTTAATGGTATTCTCCCCCCTTTGGATATTAATGCTATTTTAAAATTGTAACTTTTCCAGCTGTAGCAGAAATGATAGACACATAGTTTCCACACTCTTCCATAGACACAAAGAGCTGGTTAGTTCCTTCTTTCTTGCAACCTAAGGGTCTGATTTTCTCGCCTGTCAGCAGGGATACAGAATCCCCTGGAACTATTATAAATTGACACAACAAATTTAGATATAGCAGAAAATTTGCAGCAGCAAACAATTTTTCAATCTGTAAATGCTCCCCTTTTTTGTTGACAATATTTAGAATATTTCTGCAGGGTGAAAATTATACTTTTTAGGTTCTGATTTTTATATTTTATGACAGCCAATAAAGTAACCTTAATCCAAGTGGTAGAACTTTTTCCTTTGCTAGCTTAGTTTCTCCATCGTTCGCCTAATCTGAGGTTGCTTGCAATGATGTTATATTTTTGGAAAGACCAAGTAGAATTCACTAAAATGAAAAACTCACTCATTTACTAAAGTGCACTTTTGCTTTAATCATGGAATTTAATTACTCCATAAAAAAGGAGGAAAAATCAGACAATGTTGTATAAGAAAATGCAGAATTCTCCATCCCTCTGTTTAAAAAAGGCTACCAAGAATGTCACAGAGGCTACTCCTGTGTCCAGTAAGGGAGGACTCATTTATGGACTGGCAAACTATGGCCTGCTGGCCAAATCCAGCTCATTGCCTACTTTGTATAGCACTGGAAGGTAGAATGGTTTTCACATTTTAAAATAGTTGGAGGAAAAAAATGGAAAGAATGTTTTGCAATGTGTAAATTATGTGAAATTCAAATTTCAGTTTCTATAAATAAGGCTTTATTGGAACATGACCTTGCTCATTTGTTCATGTGTTATCTATGGCTACTTTAGCGATAGTGCTGCTGACCTGAATAGCTGTGAGATGCCACACAGCTTGCAAAACCTAAAATGCATAGTCTCTATTTACCAGAAAAGTTTGCCAACTCCTAGACTGGGTGATCTTTGAGGTCCCTTTCAACTCCGTGGTTCTAGGAGTTTTGCTTCCTGAGGTAAGCAGGAATATTCCATGAAAGACAAGATAAGGAATGCCCATTAGCTTCCTAATATAATGATCCCAAAAGAATTCTTCTTGTGGTGCCAACATTTCCTGTGGGATATGTAAAACAATACTGTGACTCACAGAGCATGCCTGTAATCTTCTCCGGTGTTGATTACTTTGAAAAGTGGGCTCTTGGATATGATAGCAATATTGATGACATTCGGCAATTTTATTCCATTAACAGGTTTACTGGACCATTTGAAAAATTATCAAGTACAATGAAAATGAAAGAAAAACAATTCCTCTAGGAACTCACATCACAAAATATTTTATTAATAAGTAAAATGATTTTCCTCTGTCTTTGGTTATTAAAAAATTATCTTTGCTGATATCAATTTGTCGACAATGATTTTACATTATTCAGTCATGAGACAGATTGGTAAGGATAGAAAGATGGTGATTATCTATAGATATAAATGTGTAAAAGACCATACTATACAATGATTTTTTAATTACAAAATCTTGGTTTTGCTAGCAGTTGGAAATTTACTTGCATATATTTAAAGTTATCCTTTTTATAAGTAAACAATATACAAATAAATTCACTTGAATTTGATAATTCAGAACATTGGCAATGAATATAGTGCTTGTTGAGGCCTGAAAAAGAGGAAAACAAGAACTGTGGGGGAAAGAAAGGTAGTATTTCATTAAAAAGCTTTTATCTTCACTTAATAGTCCCTGTTGCCTGAAAAATAAACCATTTTGATAACAAGAGTATAAAAAGCCTTGTGACTTACAAAGTACATTATATCTGTGGTTTAAATTTTATCCCATCTTTCCTATTATGACTGAGGAGCTATATACTTCATAATGCACTTCTCTGAATTTTTATAAACAAACCAAGAAAATGTTTTATCAGATTTAGGCAGAAACACTGATATTCATTTATAACTCCAGTAATTACTTGCATTCAGCATTATACAGATATAGGGATCTGAAAACCAAACAGAATGAAATGCTAAACCATAGCACATGACAAAATTAAAAGTAGCTCAGAGGGTAGTAGGCAATAGTTTATGATTTCAATATAAAAAACATTCAATTACTCATCAGATGTTACTGTAAAGTCAAAAAATTGAGATACAATCAAGAAGGGGATGAATGGTTTTATTACTATGCCACCCACTACTTCACATCTGAAATAATCCCAGAGTTATGAAGTGTCTTCATTGGGTCACTGTACAATTTCTTTCAGTCTCTTTTTAACGTAGAAAACACTTTGTAATAAAATCTCTACACAAGGTAAGAAAGCACAAAATAGGCCTCAAAAAGCACAAAAATAGACTATATATATACATACACACACAATTTTACAATGAAGTTAAGATGTGCCTGTGAAATACTCAGACTGATGCTTAATCTCATTGAATTCAAACTGGTCTCCTTTTACAATAATTGTACTATTTACATCTTCCTTTCAATCCTGGATGCTCATTAAAAAAAAGGCCCAGTATTTTGATCTCGTATGGTCAAAAACCAAGACAGCAATAATAACGGTGACATAATAAAAATGCTTAAGCTACCAGTTATAAAATTCTTCTGACAACCCCACCTCAAGGGCACTTAGGACTCATAACATTTATCCTAGACTCATCAGCAACAACCCAGGCATCTCCAGATGAGGCTGTTTTCTCATCATCAATCAACCACATGCTGGGATGAAAAATCCAGAAATGCTAATTGGGAGAAGTTTTCACACACACTGGGGGTCAATGAAGCCATCCCAAAGCCATGGACTTCCACCTTGGGAATGCAGCCCTGGGTTCCTCTCAGTCTGGCCGGTGACTTTGAGTTACACGGTCACTGCTGGGTACATCTTCTGCTCGCTATTCGTGTGGGGGAAGGGGGACTGAATCTGCCTATACCCAGGCTGCAGGCTGTCCATGAAAGGGGGCACGGGGGTCAAGGGCACAGAGTCATGCTGCACTGTATACCCCACATACGGGGGATGCAGATACTGTCCCTGATGTGGCACAATCTGTGTCGCCTGCTGACAGTTCAGCACGGAGAAATTCGTGGGCATGTTGACATACACATTGTTCATGGTCCCCTCGGGCAAGCAACAGTTGGTCTGTGACCTTGTTGGGGGGGCCCGGGCCCCAGAGTTGGCACTGGAGCTGGAGCTGGCTGCTGTGCTGGACTGGCGGGAGGATGAGCCCCGGGAAGTGCTGGCGCTGGGGATCATGGGGATGGTCTCCATCAAGCGGTTGCCTCCTGGGGCTCGGCTCTGCTGGGGCTCCTGCTTTGGCCGGAGACATCGGCAGCAACAGGCTGCCACAAGGGAGCCCAGGATTATAAAGGCGACAAACACGGAGCCAACAATGAGGAATGGCACGTAGATGGGCACTGAAGAAAAGGACAAAGACACATTGATTTACTTGGCAGTGGCAATGAATGAATGAATGAATGATCAACACTGATGCCCAACATCAAGGGACCTCAGCTGGGCTAGTTTGTTCACATATTAGTAGCCCACAAGATGCACTGGTCCTTTACCAAGGAAAGGACCTACAGACACGACAGATCAGCCCCTAGAAGCAAAACTGTCCATATTTACAGTTGGACTCATCAACTGCAATATGGATTGAGGCAGACTACTCAACTGAGTGAGAATAAGGGTTTCTTATGTTAAGATTGGTACAGCTCTAGACCTCCTACAGTATCTGAATGGCCCAGCTTAGGTCTGCCCTACTAGCTAGTTGTAGCACTTGCATAGTAAGTATTAGTTTAAATTATTTAAAAGTCTTTTTGTATTCCTTAAAAATTTATTTTTACCAAGTTCCTCCCCCACCACAAGGTAAGTCAAAAATTTAGGTCAGACTCTAAGCTACTACCATTTTTAAGAAGCAAAGTAAGGTCAAAGAAAGGGGAAAACAACTCCACACACATCTGCCCTGCAGAAGCAGGGAGGTTCGGGTGGGGCACTGAAGGGTGGAGAGAAGGGTCTGTGTGGCGGTGGTGGAGGGGGGTCATTCAAGGCTGTTACACACAGTACCCTATGTGTAACAATGGAGCAACAAGACATTTGTTTCAGGTAGGAGAGCCTCCCCCACGAGCCATGAAGGCCAGTCTGCAGAGCAGAAAGCAATGGTCGCCATACTTAACAGGGGGGCCTTCTTCTAAAAAGTGAAAACTTCACTTAAACTAGTAGCAAACTCCATTTAAAAATTATTTTCTTTAAAAAAAAATCTTTGAGAGCTATGGGAATAGCAGCACAAGGCTTTAGAAACTCAACACACAGGCTGATGGGGGCGGAGTCAGGTGAGAAAAGGGGGCAGGATGGATGCCTCTGAGCCACTTCAGTGGAATTCCACCCTGGGTTACCGAGATCCTGTGTTTTCTGATGTGTTCTTGGCTCATCTCCCTGACTATGTTTCGGGAAAATACATGAGGATAGGGCCGGATTGGGTCTTACTGGAGGTCATGGCAAAGCACCATGCCAGTGAAGACTTGGACAGGGCAGCATTTTAGGAAAGGGCTCCAGTGATTTGAGGTCAGATTTATGAATACTCTTTGACTGTCCAGTAGAGCAGGGGGCTTTCTAATTATGCTCCTCCTGACTATTCTGGCATTTCTGGAGGCAGCAGATTTAAAATAGAGCACTGCATGGTATCATGGAGAAATAATGTCTTATTAGTAAAACATACTTTATAGGTATTTAACTAAAGGCTGACAGTGCAAGATTTCCTGGAGTTTCAATAGAGAGTGAATTCTATATATAGCACTTTTTAGCAGGGCTGGTTCCCAGCAGCAGCACCGCTCTAATTACACCATCACTTCCGGCTAACTGTGGCTCACCGGAGAAGTTGATGCAGGACTTTTTCCTAGGCATGCCATAAATTCTCTAAATTATGACACCAGCCCTCCCTATATTACCAAGAGGTAAACAAATAATAATAAAACAGAAAAATATATACCAAACATTATAGCAGAAAGTAGCTGAAATAAGTATTAGTCCATATAATGAGTTTTGTGGAGAAATAACTGTTCTCTTTCCAGGATTTTTAATTAGAAGTGTAAATAACCACACGGGGGTAAAGAATGCAATACTACTATAAGCCCCCAGGATTAATTAGGCATGCTGTCTTTCTGCACTGCAGAAGAGAAGTGAAAGGAATAGTGAAAGGAATAGAGTTTCAGGGGAAGAGTTTGCAAGTGGAATGAAGAAGGCACCCATGCACACTATGCAGGGCATCATGAGATGTCTGTTGGCTACTGATTTGTCCAAAGCCATCCCAACTTTATAAAAGACCACTAATGAGCCCAACTTAACAGACACTGCATTGTAGCAGTTCAGACTTTGGCTCATTTTTCAAGGCTTTATTCCGCGGCCACACACTCTGCAGGGCTAAGCTTACGTTTTAAGAAGGCACCTCTTCTGGAATTACCCTCAGTTCTCCTCTCTTCAGATTCAAGGCAGTGGAACAATAGGAGTAGCATGCTAATAAAATGCTTGACTGCAAAGGGAAAGGCGCTGAAAAGAGCTGTCTCTCACCAGGCCCCTGGAGGCAGCTCTGCAAATGCACCAGGCCAAAGCACAGGCAGTTCATTTTTGGGCAGCAAGGTGCTGGTGAAAGTCCTCTAGTTAACACAACACAACAGGGCTGCAGAAAAAGGAGACGCCCCCTCTGGGACATGTTTGCATTTTACTTCTTACCTCCTACCCGTACCCATCCCAGAACTAAATACACACACACACACTTTGCAGACCCTCCAAGGAGGCAGTCTGGAAAGGTTTCTCAAGTGTGGCAGAAGTGCAATCTACCAAATTCTTTCATGGATTTATGTTCAGCTTTGGCAATTTGAAAAAATATATATAATTTTTAAAAAAGTCAAAGCCACAAAGAGCAAGGTTGGGCACAGCTTGGACGTTACACCTACTATGCCTCCCATGGTAAGGCCCAGGCTGTGGCAGGGGAAAGGTGCTGCCCCGTAATCCGAGTATGGGAGGGTTTGACTCCCCCAGAGCGCAGTATAGGGCATCACTCATGGGACAGCCCTGAGGAGCTGTTCCTTCTCAGGAACCTTCCAGGAAGCACCCCTCCCAGGTCCTCTTGGATACGGCCCTTCCTAAGGTACCCCCAAGGCATCAACTCCTACGGAGACAGGAGGTACCAGAGGGGCAGAGGACCCTGGACAAAAGCAATGCGGGAGCTGACTGTGGCCCACACTGCCTTAGGTGTGTGATTTTCTTTGGAAAACCCACGCCAATCCAACCTTTAGCTGACAGGGGAAACTGAGGCCCAGGGAGGTTGAATTAGTGACCCATGCACAAATTAATGAATGGGCTAGAACGCAGGCTCCGCCTCCTGGTCTGAGGCCCTTTGCTAAAATGCCAGTGCTTCTAATTCCCTTCCCCTCTCCAACCTCCCAGGTCCTCCCTGTGGTCACAAGGCCGCCTTACCTGCTGAGCCGTCCGGGCCGTCTTTGTCTGCTCGGCCAGGCTCGCCCCCGCCCTGCTGGCGGTCGTTATCGCAGCCACCCTGGTCCAGACGCGCCTCCGCGCTGGAGCAGCAGTAGCGCAACGCACAGCTGCCACAGCAGATGGTGGCGTCGCCGCCGTCGAAGCGCTCAGGGCACTGGAAGCCGATCCGCCAGACGCCCTGCGCGTCCAGCCAGCCGTGGCAGTACTCGCCGCTGGCCCACGCCCCCAGAGCCAGCAGCGCCGCCAGCAGCAGCTGCAGGAGCCAAGCCGCGTTCCGGGAGGAGGCGGCGAACGAACGGCGTCCGCCCCACATGGCACCACCCTGGGCGCGGGCGGAGCGTCTCCAGAGGGCACAGAGCAGTCTCCCAGAAGTTGCGGCCCCGGCGACCCCGGGCTTCCTCTCTGTCTCAAAATGCTTTCCGCACCGGCAACTCCCTTCCGCCGCGACGTCCAGGAGCAGACGACCCCGGGCTACAGGGCCAGAGGCTCCTAAGCCATTCTCTTCTTCAGCCGGATGGCGCAGTCCCCAATAGGGCTTGCCTTAAGAGTGGCAGTCGCGGACGAAACTCTCGGGGTGCAGACTCAGAGAGCCCCGAGGGCTGCCGTCCCGCAGCCCCTGGACGCGTCACCCGCGGCAAGGCCCTCCTCGTACATCCCCTAAGGGGACGCTTACCCGAGCCGGATGACCGCTGGGCACGGTGCTGAGGACTTGGGGGCAGGTCTCTGTGGCAAGGTTTAAGCCCCGGGGTCCCACGCGACAGTGGGAGCGCGTCTTGCCTACTTTATTCTCCTCTCCAGTGGCGAGAAGGGGCGAGGAAGGCAGGCAGCGCGCGCAGGGCTCTGGGCAGCAAGTGCAGCGGCCGGCCGCGCTCAGCCTCCTCAGCCGCGAACTCGGTCCGCATGGCTCCAGCCACGCCGCCCGGGCAGCCCTCGGGGCTACAGCCCCGACGCTCCAGTCGGCAGGGCCGACGGCCAAGGTTCCCGGCGCACGTCCCCGCGGGAGCGGTTCCGACCCTGGGAGCGTCCCGGACGCGGGCGAGGGTGGGGCACGCCCCCAGCCGCACTCCCCGGAGCCTGCCCGGCTGGCGGCGGCCGCGGCTGCTGCTGGGCGAGGATCCAGGCGAGCCGCTCGCTCAGGCTCCCCTTCTCCGCCTCCCGGCTGCAGCGTGGTCCTACCGGTTCCCGGCAACCTGGGTCCGCCTCCCCGCCTCGCCGTTGCGCCCGCGGGAGGTGTGCGCCCGGGGGAGCCTCCCACGGAAGTTTCAGTCCTCCGGGTTACGGGGAAGCCGAGTGCGGCGCCCGGCCAGCTCCGAGTCGGCTCAGCCGCGCTGCGCCGCGCTCTTATGAGGGGCCCGCGGCTCCCCCGGCGCGCATGCGTGCTGCACGGGCTCCCCTCCGCTTCTGGGCGCCCCGAGACACCGGACAGCCCTGCACTTTGGGACACCGATGGGGGCGCGGTTAAAAACATAGGCAGACCTGGCCTTGCTAACGCAACTGCAGTAATAATGAGAGCAAACTAAACTTGCTTAGTGAAGATCTTTCGTATTCAACCTTTGGTTTGATTCTCAGAACTTCCCAAAGGATTATAATTACTGTCCATTTTACAGGTCATGAAATCACCGCTCAGTTGAACTGTCTCTCAAGTTGCCGCACCGTTGGTCTCCAGCCCAGGCAAGGATGATCTGCGATGATGGTGGCAGTGCTCACACGCCTGCGGCTGGGTCTGACCGGCTGGGCTCCAGGCTTCTGCCCCAAGATGGAATGGAGTTCAAAAAAGACTTAATAAATTTGGCCATTTTCTGGGCGATTCGTGTCACTTTCTTTCTTGGGGTGTGGTGATTTATTGTACTGTAGCAGAAAGGTGTTTCCATCCAACCTTCGGCCTTAGTGGTTTAGACAGCTGCAGTCAGGAAGAAAACAAGGTTCAGACACACCAGAAATTCAGCTTTGATGAAGGAGAAACTAATCGCTTCTCCCTTGTGGAAGCTGAAACAACAGGTGCTGATGTTATTAAAGCAGCAGTGATTAGTTTTTAAAGGAACTAATGTCCCTTCCCACACGGTCTGGGAGTCAACAGACCTGAGTTCTAGACCCAGTCCTACTGGCAGAGAATCTTTATGTTTTGCCGTCTCAGTTTCGTCATCTGTAAGGTAGGACATAGGATGTAATGACCACTAAGGTCTCTTTCAAGTCCATGACTACAGAACACACGTTTGTTTGTTTTGGAGACAGAGTCTTATTCTGTCGCCCTCGGTTGAGTGCAGTGGCATCATAGCTCACAGCAACCTCAAACTCTTTTGAGTTCAAGAGATCCTCCTACCTCAGCCTCCTGAGTAGCTAGAACTACAGGTACCTGCCAAGATGCTAGGCTGGGTTTTCTATTTTTAGTAGAGACAGGGTCTCATTCTTGCTCAGGCTGGTCTCTAATTCCTGAGCTCAGGCAATCCACCAGCATAGTCTTCCCAGAGAGCTAGGTTTCCAGATGTGAGCCACAGCGCCCTCAACACAGGCAATTTTGTTAACAGCAAAGACACTCCACTCACCCCAACAATACCTCTATCCTATTTCCCACTTCTCCCCCTAACCCCTTATTCTTTTACTCAACCTCTCTCCAAATACTTCCCTTCTTTTCCTTGCAGGTTTTTTTGTTTGTTATTTTTAGCTACATAAAACCATATATTTTAGACTGGGTACTGTGGTTCACATAATCTGGGGTTAGGATGCAGAGGGAGGTCAGAAAGATCAGCAGAGGAATGGCACTTAAGGTTAGACCAGAAGTAGCCAGCCTAAGGATTGAGTCATTTACTGTATTTTGATTGAGGGCTTACTATGTGCCTAGAACCATGCTAGAAACATTACATTGCTTCATGTAATCCCCATGGCAGTCCTCTAAAATGAAGAGGCCACTTGCCTGATCTCTACAGATGGAGTTTCTGCTTGCTCGGATAGCATCCAGTTCTACCTGCCTCCAAAGCCCACCCACCATACTGCTGTTCACCACATCTTCCACTACAGAAAACCCAGGATAGACTGGGAGCTCTGTACTAGCTGGTTCATTGTCATTTTCCTCCTGCCACAGCCTCCTGAGTAGCTGGAACTACAGGTACCTGCCAAATACATAGATTTGAGTGGTGTTCAGAGGATTGATAGTTTAAATTTTCTTCTTTTGGAAAGAAAAAAAAGCAGGAGATAGTACCTATATCATAACCTCCTTCCACTCCTCGTTCTCTTCTCTTAAAACATCCACAATTTGTCAGGGTTTATTATGAAGAAAGAAATGGTGAATATTTCATAGTAGAATGGATTCTGTGACTGGGCAGTGCCACTGCTTAAACATAATGTTTTCTCCAAGTAGTCTACGAGTTAGTTTATAACTGGTGAACTTGGAAATGTGAAACTTTGAGTAAATTTTTCCTCTTTTTTACTGTTGTGTTTCCTTTATTCCTTAAAAGTTAGAGAAGCCTGTTTCGTAGGTACTTTATGTGGCAGTTGATTGTCTTCAATGCTCAAAGGGCCTTTATATCGCTCTGTATTTATGTATATATCCCTTATTTATCTTTTCTTTGTTGTACTGAAATTTTATAACATGAGTTGTCCAGTACTTAGTGAGCTTCTCTGTGGGAGATACTGTAAGGAGATACACTAAGATGGTCTTGGCCCTGTCATAGGAAATAAAAAGAAATTCCCTCACCATCCTTAACAGGCAGCCTAAACTATTTTACTAGTCTCGTCTGTGAAACTATAACTAGCAATCATAACATCTAGGTAGTAATAATAATAATTTATTATAATCAAAACTAAATGTCAGGCAGTCTGCCAAAATATATTTAAACACATATGAAAGGGTGCCCCCCTTTAAAAAGTTGAACTCCGTGAATGTTAACTGCAGAAGTATATTTTCAGGTTACTTAACATTTCAGTATGTGCCTATGTATGTATATGAATAAAATACAACTGATTTAAAATCAAACTTCTGCCATATCTTCACTGGAACAAGTAGAAAGTCATATAACTAAAGAAATGATTACTTATAGCTCTGCTAACTGGAGTTGATACAAATCATATGGAGGTAATCATATTTCCTTTGGCTGGCAGTTCTAAAAGCTTCAAGATCTCCAGTGTTATTCCTGCAAGTTTCAGCAAGAGCTGAAGGTTCTTGCCGTCTGCACACCCGTCAGCAGTCTGTTTAGGGGGAATGACTTTCACTAGGTTGATTCATTTCTCCCCTTCTCTTTCATAAATAGAAGTAGCACTGAAAATTCACATTTTGTTTACCAAAAATTCATTTAAGTTTAAATATTTGTGTTATCAAATCTCAAGCCCAAACAAATTTGTTAAATTATGTTTCCTTTCATTTTTTTTTTCTTGTGATTCCCTAAACTTATCTGAAAATAGCAATGGTCATAAATTTGGGGGAGAAAGGCTTTCTTGTTGCTTTAACTTTTTTTATCTTTCATTCTCATTATGTTTTCTTATAATTAATATACTGATTTCCAAAATGTAATTTCCATACTTTATCCTTTTTCATCTCATCTGCCATTAACTTTAAACATTTGACATTCCTTGCTTTCATTCCTACTCCTCACCCCAGGATTTTACTGAACTCCTTTATATTTTAATATTGGTGTTTCCTATGGTTACATTTTCATCTTGAAGATATGGAGTTAACAACCATGAAGGCCTTGTTTCAATTTGCAAATCATGTAAATACTAAGAGTCTAGTATCCAGAATATATATGAACCATTGCAACTAAAAAAAAAAACCCTCAATTTAAAATTGGCTTAAATAAACATTTCTCCAAACAATATATACAAAGAACCAACAATTACATTTAAAAAAATCCAGGATTAATTAGTTACAAGAGAATTACAAATCAAAACCATCTGATGCCACTTTATTCTCACTCAGATGGCAATAGAAACAATAATAAAGGGATCCTGAGCCTGAGCAAGAATGAGATCCCATTTCTATTAAAAATAGAAAAGGAAAATTAGCCAAGGTTGGCGGTGGGTGCCCGTAGTCCCAGCTTCTTGGGAGGCTGAGGCAAGAGGATTGCTTGAGCCCAGGAGTTTGAGGTTGCTGTGAGCTATGATGACATCACTTCACTCAAGTCAGGGTAACAGACCAAGATTGTGTTTCTATAAACAAACAAACAAATGAATGAATAAATGATGTTAGTGAGGATATGGAGGAATTGGAACACTTAAATCTTGATGATGGGATGTACAATGGTTCAGCCTAGGGTGACCAGACGTCTCGCTTTTTAACAATTTGTTAAAGAAGAATGCATAAACGGGCAGGAGAACAGGAAGGGAATATATGGTTTTCTGCTGCCATGTGACTATTTCGCCAGAATATGAGTTTTATATTATTTTTGTTAATTTTATAATGTTAAATTATAATAATAACAAGTAATTTTTGAGAAGTGATTATCGAGAACTGCTTATCAAAGTTTGCACTGTTGTCAGGCCCTGCCCTGCCCTGTCCCCTGCCCCCCCACCATGTTGTCCTGCTTTACAAATGTTAAAATCTGGTCACCCTAGTTTAGCCACTATGCAAAATAATTTGATAATTCCTCAAAAATAAAATTACCATATGACCCTGCAATTCCACTCCCAGTAATAAATATCCCAGAGTTGCAAACATATGTCCATA